TTTTGTGTGTGTGTGTGTGTGTGTGTGTGTGTGTCTTAGTAAGAAAAAAAAATCAGCAGTGCCCATACATAGAAATAACCCAGTGAGATGTCGTGATTAATAAGAAAACTTTACAATAGCAACAGAGCAATATAAACCCTTAGGAAAGTTTAATAACAAGCTGTCTGGGAAAAAGAACAAAACATTCTGACACACTTAAAAGACATGTGGGCACAGGGAGGAACTGCTTGCTCTGTCTTCCCTGGGAAACTTCAATAGCATCAAGCTATGCCTACTTCCTAAGTAGAGTGTATTTGAATGTAAACCCAGTAAAATCATGTGAGCTTTCCATGGACCATGGTTGGCATAGAAAGATGTTTTTATTTCCAGATGGACAAAAAATGACAGGAAAATACTACACAGGAAGGGCTGAGTCCCCAGGAAGCACAGCCACATTCTGTGTATGAGTGCACTCAGTGTAGAGGGAGCACAGTCACAGTGTGAGTATACAGAGAGCACAGGCACACTCAGTGTAAAGGGAGCACACCACAGTCTAAGTATACAGGGACACAGGTACACTCAGTGTAGAGGAAGCACAGCTGGATTCCGAGTATATAATAAAATATGGCTCACTCTGTTACAGGAGAAGGCTGATGGTGTAACACATACACACACACACACACACACACACACACACACACACACACTTGTAAGCAGAAACACCCAGGAAGGAGATAGCCCCAGGGTGAATGAGTTCTTAAACTTGGGAAATAAAAGACAAGTACTCCAATCCGGGCAGTGGTGGTGACACATACCTTTAATCCCAGCACTCAGGAGGCAGAGGCAGGTGGATATCTGTGAGTTCGAGGCCAGCCTGGTCTATGGCGCGAGTTCCCAGGATAGCCTCCAAAGCAATACAAAGAAACCTTGTCTCAAAAAACAAAAAAGACAAGTACTGCTAATCATTGCATCATTTTATTTTTTTTTGAGATAGGGTTTCTCTGTGTAGCTTTGTAGACCAGGCTGAGATCCACCTGCCTCTGCCTCCCAATGCTGGGATTAAAGGTGTGTGCCATCACTGCCCGGTTACATAATTTTATAAGATGGAAGAAAATAACCTAAAAGCCATTAATAGGATGGACAAAAGTTTCAAATAATTCGCAGAATCTTCCTGAAAATTCATATTCTGCTTTGCAGGTGGAAGCACACCAAATGACAGCCACACTAAAGGCCTGGCCCTGTCAGGTGAGTGGTGGCACAGCACAAGATCTCCCTCTGCCAAGCATTCTCGGGTCTACCTCAAACAAAAGTCCCACAAGGCTAATGTGTTAGAGCTCTGACAGGAAAGGCTTCCCCACTGTAGGGTAAGGAGCTAGGGAAAGAACACCATGACTTGATCCCAAGACCAGAGCCAAGGACTTGAGATCCCATCAATCAATCCATGAGCTTGCCCCAGAGTCAGGTCACAGAATCCCACAAATCCCCAAACTTGCCCTAGAGTCGAACGACAGAATCTCACCAAACCCAGGCCATCATGGAAAGCTCTGCCCCCAAAGGCTATATAAACTCTGCCTTCAGCTCAGTTCACTGCTGCTTCTTCCTTGAGCAGGGGCAGCCACCCCCCAACCCCGTTTTTTTTCCTTCCAATAAATCCCTTGTGTGAGGTTTGTTGTGTTGTGTAACACTTTTGTCTGAGCAGAGTGGTAGCAGTTTTGCTGGAGGAACTTTCCCTTAGGGGAGCATAGTTGTTAACACTTTGCCTGACCTGAGCAGAGCTGTAACACTTTTGCAGGGGGAACAGACCCTGTGGAGCAGTTGTTACACTTGCATTGAGGAAACCTTTCCCTGGAGTAGAGCTGTAATACTTCTGTTGGGGAAACCTTTCCCTTCAAAGCTGTAACACTTGCAGTGGCTGTCAGTGTTGCAACTCTGAAGGGAAAGGTATCCTGGCAGTTGGGAGCCAAGGAATACCACAAAGTCACACCACACAGCAAACCTCATGCAAGAGATTTATTGGGAAGGAAAAGCCAGGAAGGGTGGCTGCCTCTGCTCAGGCAAGAAGCAGCTAAGAACTGAGCAGAAGACAGCATTATATAGTTCTTTTGGGGGGGTGCTTTTTAGGGTGGAGATTGGTGGGATCTCAAGTCCTGAACTTGAGCTTTTTACTCTGTAGGGTAGAGGCTGGGTCCCATTAGGGCAATTAGTATGTTCTCTGGGTGGAACCTGAGGGTTGGCGGTCCTCAGGGGAGGGGCCTGGAAAATCACACGTCTTGAGGGACCTACATTTATCCTTTGATGCACTTAATTACAAAAGACCCAGAGGACAAGCTACATGGCCATGGCAAGCCTTCCTAGTAGAATTCCATGCATGGATGCAAGATTTCTACAGAGAAAAAGAGAAATAAAATGTGCATCTCTGCCTGTCTTTACAAACAGAAGCAATGGCACTAAAGATCAAAAACAGGTGAGGAAGTGTATTGGAATGCAGTCTAAGAATGGAGTCATAGAAGGGGAATTCTGAGTGTGAGAAAACTCCAAGACAACAAGAAACTTGTGACCTTCAAAACCATGGAATTGTTCTTGGAACGTGCTATTGTGCACCTCCCAAACATAGATAGGAGTGACTTTTGAGTACTCATCACCAATGGCTATTGTTATTTGTTTATATGCCTCTATACAAAAAACATGCTTTCTCCAAGTGCACTTATCCTCATGATGGTAGACTTTACTTGTGTGACTCTTCTTAACTCTTGGGGTATAAACTGCCTGCTGCACTGGGTAAATTTGGCTGTTGCATGAGACATTAGTCTGCCCTGTTTTCAGACTCTACTCTGAGGATTCCACTGCCTTTAGAGTATAAACAGAGGCGAGGAAGAAACCTCCCTTCACTTGCCTCTGGTAGTGGCTTGATCCCTAGAAGCATAGTCGTGCTTTACAAACTAAAAATGATGGGGGAGGGGTAGTAAAAGCTCATAAAACTGGCATTTCTAGCGGAAAGCAACCATATCGAGGCAGGACAAGGGCCAACCCAATAAACTTATTAACAGTGTTTGCACACCTGGTGGTGGGCAGGGGAGTGACTTGCAAACAGATCTTGACCTCCCTTTAGCAAGTTTGTTCTATACAGCAAACTGCATAGGAATTCCAGAACTACTTAATGTGTATTTTGTTGTTGAACGAAGTACCAGATGTATGATCACTGCCAAGAGCCACGATTTTCTTCCTTCCTTCTTTCCTTTTTCTTTCTTTCTTTTTTTGGAGACAGGGTTTCTCTGTATTGCTTTGGAGCCTGTCCTGGAACTTTCTCTGAAGACCAGGCTGGCCTCGAACTTGCTGAGATCCACCTGCCTCTGCCTCCTGAGTGCTGGAATTAAAGGTGTGTGCTACTAATGCCTGGCGAGCCACGATTTTCATTGTGGAAGGGGTTTGCACATTTGTATATGGAGGATGACAAGAGCGCCATGACATAGGATAAACTGTATGGGTATTGGGGCTGAGGATATAGGTCAGTGGTACATGCTAGGCTAGCATGTATGAGGCCCTGGGTTCAATCCCCAGTCCCACCAAACAGATAGTATAGATATGGCCTATGATGGTCCAGACGTGTTCATGTGTGCACATGCAGGCATGCCTATATGTCCTTAGAAGGGCCTAAGAGCAGATACCCAGAGCAACAATGATACCCAACCCCAGATCTCAGCCTAAAACCATTCTCCACCAAAAGGATCCAGGGCATTTGAGACACGACTAGTTCCACAACCCAGGAGGATACATGCTTTGGAGTACTATACACCAGAAACATTCAAAGGGGCAGGTCCCAAGGTAAGCACCATGTGACAGGGCACCCATTGGGCACATCTCACACCATATGAACATCAGAATTAGAAATAATTTACAGACCATTGATGTTAAGTAGTGATCCACATAGTACACAGAAGAAACAGAAAAATAGTCGGGCGTTGGTGGCGCACGCCTTTAATCCCAGCACTCGGGAGGCAGAGGCAAGAGGATCTCTGTGAGTTCGAGACCACCCTAGTCTACAAGAGCTAGTTCCAGGACACAGCCTCCAAAGCCACAGAGAAACCCTGTCTCGAAACCCCCCCCAAAAAAAAGAAACAGAAAAATAAATGGCTGAGAGGGTGTTCAGAATGTTGGCTGGGGTCAGGGAGGTGACCTGAAGTCTGAAGCCTGCTGTTTCACCACCACACAATACTGCTCCAGGAAGGATCTGTGTTGTGTGCTATGGCTGTGCACAGAGAAGTCTGCATCTGTAAGCTCAGACAAAAGGCTATATACTTCAAACCACCTGCTCTCAACGACCTACAAACGACTGGGGGATAGCTCAGTCGGTAAACTGCTTGTCTTGCAAACTTGGTGACCAGAGTTCAACCCACAGAACTACTTGGGAAAAACAAAAAGCCCAGGCAAGCATGTGGTACATGCTTGTAATTCCAGTTCTCGGGAAGGGAAAACATGTGGGTCCCTGGGGCTCACTTGCCAGAAAACAGAAAAATGGTGAAGAACAAAACCCAAGATTGTCCTCTAGCCTCAACACACGTGCACCTGCATACATCTGCACACAATGCACACACACACACTCGGGCACAAGTCTTTTTGTTTTCTCTGTGTAGCTTTGGAGCCCGTCCTGGAACTAGCTCTTATAGATCAGGCTGGTCTCAAACTCACAGAGATCCACTGTCTCTGCCTCCTGAGTGCTGGGATTACTGGCAGGCGCCATCACCAGCTGGCAGACACAAGTCTTTGTGGCTGTATACTATCCTGTGCAGATATGCGCTATGCAGGCTGTCTATGTGTAAAATCTGCACGTGCATACACATGAGCATGTGTCGTGTGTGCCTGCATATTGGGTGCACGATGTGCATACGTCATCTGTTATCCATATGACTGGCACTGTCACACTTCATGAATGAATGTTCAGTATAGTGTGACAGAGCCAGTGACCCCTACTGTGAAACCAGGGCAGAGGCTGTCTCCAGAAATAACCACTTAACAAGGCAATATTAGAAAACATAATTTTTATTTCTGATCTTTTATAAACATATTTATGTCCTAAGACTCAACAGCTGCAATAATGGGGGGGGTACCCTGTGCTGAAGCTCCGGGTTTATACTGATGTCTCCTGAGGCCATGGGCAACAAGTGTGGTTCAGGGACAGGAAATACACACTGAGGGTCACTACAGAGTGCGGGTGGCAGAGTGTTCTAGCCTGGCTCACTGTCCCCTCTTGGTTATAAATGGCTCCCAGTCTGAATGGGAGCGACCTAACCATGGTAGACAGGTCTGAGCAGGCCACTATCACACCTGGTCCTGTGCTCCATATTCTCTGAGCCCTGTGTCCTAGGTGTGGCTATCTCACACCTGCTAGAGGACAACACCAGGGGCATGCTGGAAGTCCTTGGTTGCTTGCTTTGTTTTCTTGAACTCTTTTCACTGTGTTAGAAGGGTGACCACACTTGATGCTCCTGGTGAACTCTCATCCTCTCAGGCCAGCCTAAGCCGCTCCAGAAGCACCAGTTTTGTCTGCAGGTTGACATCAAAGGGTGGCAGTTTGGTCAGAGTCACACTCACACCTGTAGTGCCCTCAATACTGGCCAGAACGCGATGTGTGTCCCTGTAGAGGGCCAGGTGCCCGGGTGCTGCCTCCATGAGGATGTGTGTGTAGTCCAGCATGCCCTCCGCTCCAGGCTGGACATCTTCCTTCTTGTCATACCTGGGAGAAAAAAAGCCATCTGTCTCTACTGCACTCATCTTTACCTATGTCTCACACCACCCCTCCATAGCACCTAGGTGCCACTGAAGTGATTTTTTATAGGTGGCCTCTGTGGGAAGCAACTCCACCTGTAGCTAAAATATTTCAGAAACAAACCTCCAGCCATCGTTGACTTGTAGAAACCGTGACACACCTGTCTGGGCAGCAGCTACATCAATGTGCAGAAGGACATCTAGGAAAACCAAATCTCAGTTAGAAGCCAACATGGTACCTCACTCAGGGCCAGCCTGGTCCCCAGGGGGTACCCTGTACCAACCTGTCTGGGGTGGCACCAGCTCATGTAGCCGCTGCATTGCAACACCACCAGGGTAGTTGAAATGGGACACATAGAGGGATGTGGCTGTATATGCCACATTTACCATGATGTGCCCTATCACGAGCAGAGTTCCCATCTTGTACAGCCAAGACTTTTTATAGTTATTCAGGCTGCAAAAAGAAAGACACCCAATGAAAAGCATATGGTATCAAGAGCGCCAACATATCCAATCACATCTAGGAAGAGTGGTCCTAGAATACCAGCCCACTCCAACTTCATCAAGTCATCACAGGCAGGGGAGTTAATCAAGGTTATAGCTGAGTAATTAGTCAAAGAATAAAATAAAAGGCTTTGAAACTGCTCTTAATAAAAAGCACCAATTCCTCCTAGCCGGGCGTTGGTGGTGCACACCTTAATCCCAGCACTTGGGAGGCAGAGGCAGGCGGATCTCTGTGAGTTCGAGGCCAGCCTGGTCTACAAGAGCTGGTTCCAGGACAGCCTCCAAAGCCACAGAGAAACCCTGTCTCGAAAAACCAAAAAAAAAAAAAAAAAAAGCACCAATTCCTCGCCTGGAACCACATGGTAACTTAAAGCAGACAAAAGCCTGGAGTTTCTGGGCTCTATCTGCATGCCTCCATTGTCTTAAGACTCTGGGTCCTTCACCTGCTTAATTCCCAACTTATGTCAAATCCTCAAGGAGTCTTGCCTACAAGCTGATGACAGCTAATCTACTTCATGTTCCTTCAAGGTTGAAGGCACAAAGTAACTAAGCTATCTTACTGTCAGCTTTGACAACATCCTGCTCCAAACCCACAGAAAGCACCTTAAGTCTCCAGTTGCCCTAAACCCCACCGACAGAGCACCTCATGATGAGCTCACCCCCCTAGCAGGAATACTCATCTCAGGGTAACTGGATGGTCTTCTCACCACCTTGCAAAATCACAACTGAGATAACGATCAACCAGCCAACACTGACCAAGACTACTTAATTATGTACTCCTCTTGCCCCTACCTAATTCTGTTTAAACCTAAGGCTCATGTCAGTGCTCCCTTGTCTGTTCTTTTTAATGTGCTTATTCATCTCTTTTATTGTCATATGGGGATAGACAGACTATTGGGACTCCTGAGCTGAGGTTAAACTTGCCCTAAACAACTCAAGTCACCAAAGTGACTAAGATATCTTCTGAAGAACTCTGTGGTTGTGCACAGTGGCACAGGCCTGGAGTCCCAGCACTGGGAAGGCTGAAGAATAATGATGGCAAATCTGAAGCCAGCCTGGGTTACATAGCAAGACTGTCTCAAAACAAACAAAAAGGACGGTGAGATAACTCAGTGGGTAAAGGCACTTGTCATGTAAGCTTGATAATCCGCAAACCCACATAAAGGTATAAAGAGAACTGGCTCCACAAATTGGTCCTCTGACCTCCACAATCACGCCATAGCATGTGCACTGGCCATAATGCACACACATGTTAATAAGAAAATACAACTCCAAATTTCCATTCAGCATGCCAATTCAATTTTATACTAGATTTTTTGAAAGGCTCCCCAGTTACTGTTTAGGGCAGAAGTCCAGCTCACTACTTGCTCCTGTGGTGTATAAACAAACTGCACAAAGTAAATCAAGGCTTCAAAAGGCAGCCTGAGGACCGGGAGGCAGACTTCAACAAGGTGCATGCTTATAATCTCCAGGCCAAAAGAGCCCAACCCTGTACCAGTTCCAGAGACTGGTCACCCTCCGTTCCCCTTCCCTTCCCAAGACTGGCTCTGGCTGGAGGGAGGGGTTGGCGTTTCTATGGGAGCAGGAGTGTGGTATCTGTGCACCGCTGTGTGCGAATGCACACACTGAGGTGTGCACGGGCAGAAGTCAGGGGAGAAAATCAGGTGTCCTCTACCATTCTCCTCTTACTCCTTTGTGATCGCACCTCCCACTGCACATGGAATCTGCCAGCTTTTCCATTGTGCTGAGTCACAGCAATCCTCCTGTCTCTGTACCCCATCACGGCTACCACAGTGGCTGGTGTCACAGGTTAACATGTGGCAACACCTTGCTTTTTACATAGGTGCTGGGGACCCAAATGCAGATCCTCACGCTTAGGTAGCAAGCATTCTTACAGTCCATCTCCCTTCCTTGGCTTCCTAAACGGTGGGATTACTATCACACCCAGCTCCAAGAGGTCCTTATCTTTGGTCTTCTCAGTCAGTCTGCTACTGCACTGATCTAGAGTCTTTTACATTTATTTACTTATTTATAAAGGGTCTCATGGAGTCCAGGCCCTGTCTTGAACCTCGACTTCCTGAACAGTTACAGGCCTACACAACTGCACCTAATTTATGTGGTGCTGAGGTAGAAACAAGAGCATTGAGCATGCTGGGCAGGTACTCTACAAACTGAGCTTCATCCCAGCCTGATCTTCATTTTGGAGAGCGGCTCATACTATAGCTCTGGATGCTCTGAAACTCCTTGGGATGGCTCAGGTTGGTGTTCCCAAGTACTGGGATTTTAGGTGTGAGCCATTACACCGGCTCCATCTAGATAGCTGTAGGCAATGGATGCTATCCCCGCCTCCCCTGAGGTTTTGCCTTTAAGACCCAATGGGTCTGTAAGATCATAGCACACTTCATCTTGAACCCTGGTTTCTAAGCTGCAGCTTAGGTCTCCCCCAAGTAAACTCTGGGTTGTCTTCTGTCTTGTCTTAGTTGATGGGACATGGGCCTGCCTTCGTTTTTCACTGTCAGTCATCTGACGATGACTTCAAACAACAATGGCAGTTAGCAGCTGACACAGAGATCATGTGGCCCATAGAGAGAACATTTGCTCTCTGGCCCTTTAAGAAGCAGTCTACTAACCAATTTTTTAAACTATTGGCCTCAAACACAGTTTTGTTTGTTTGTTTGTTTTGTTTTGTTTTGTTTGAGGCAGGGTTTCTCTGTGGCCTTGGAGCCTGTCCTGGAACTAGCTCTTGTAGACCAGGCTGGTCTCAAACTCACAGAGATCCGTCTGCCTCTGCCTCCCGAGTGCTGGTATTAAAGGCATGCGCCACCACCGCCCAGCTTCAAACACATATTTTTCTCAGCACAATTGCACCCACTTTATCCCAAATAAGGGACCTGAATAAACTATGACAGGGTTTCTAAAAAGTGGTGCATTGTCTGTAACTCCAGCTGCTTGAAAGGCCAAGACATCACAAGTTACAGGCCATCTAAGGCTACACACATTAAAAAAAAAAGTCGGTCAGAGGTGGTGCACATCCTTAGTCCCAGCACTCGGGAGGCAGATGCAGGCAGATCTCTGTGAGTTTGAGGCTAGTCTGGTCTACAGAGAGTTTCAGGACAGCCAGGACTGTTCTATAGAGAAACCTTGTCTCAGAAAACAAAAAACCAAATCAAACCAAAAAATCTATCAGCTGGGTAACTCACAGCATCCCATGAAAATACAGTAAAAGTGAGAAACTAGACAAGTATCTGGAGGATGAAACCCTCACATGTAGGCACAGCCTCTGGCAGCCATGATGTTGAGTGCAGGGAAGGTATAGATGATGAACCGCAACTCCTTATGCGGGAGGAGTGAGTACAACGCCACGAATCCCAGGCTTGGCAGGGCCAGTGCATGGGTCCTCCTGTCCACTGCACCCAGGGGTAAGAAGAGAAGGCTGCAGCCCAGGCCCCGGGGCAGGGCAGAATAGAAATACCACAGGAGCGGGGAGGTCTTGAGGTCAGGTTAAGGAGGCATGGATACTGTCAGAGACTGTGTCTGTCCACTCAATGGAACTAGGATGGCAATAGCATCAAGGCTGAGTGGCCCAAAGACAGTCATGCCAAAAGGCACAGCAGAGACCTGCTCAGGAGTTATGGGGATGAACGATCTTGGGCACAGAATACCCAGCTAGATAACTATGAGAAAAAATACCCTTATTCTTAACAGTATTAACAGACAAGGATAGCAAGCCGTCAAGTCATAGCTATGCTGTCCTTTCTAACCATGAGTCCATCTGAAGTACTGGGTGATACAATGTTTTTAAAAGTGGATCACTCTGTGAACCATGGCGATGCTCCCTAAGACTAGGCGATGCTTAGGGACAATGGATGGGTAGAAGGCAGCACAGGCCTCAGTGCCACTCGGGGCCAGTGAGTCCCGGGTGTGAACAACAGAAGCTCCTCAGACAGCCCCCTTGCCTGTGCCGACCAGTTGCCTGTGGGAGACAGGAGCTAGAGGCCAGGGTCATGGAGCTGACCAGCCTGTGCACCTACTCTAATACTGAAAGGATACGCCCCAGTTGGAACTTTTGTTCAGGACAGTGTTGTACCAAAGCACCTCTCCTTCTGGCCATACAAGGTATCTCCAGAAATAGGAGTCCACAGCAACCGTCAGTCCTAATAACAGAACAAAAGTGTCCTCAGTAAGGAACATGGCCAACTATAAAATTCACGCCTCAACCCACATATGTACTATGCTTAACTGCCCCCACAAAGTGGTTGCATGGCCACAGAAACCACCACAAGAGGAGCTGGTGGTGTGTGACACCATTTCCCATTAAGCATTATCCCTAGCAAGGACACACTGCCCTCCTCCTGCCTGGCCAAGCAACTTGAAGGCAGTAGGTGGATGTAGGCTTCCAGGTAGAAGCCATCACTAGAGACAGAACTGGGATGTTCTCCTGCTACCAACATTCAGATAATCTTATTTCCATCTTTAAAAAAAAAAAATTGGGACTGGAGAGATGACTCAGTAGTTAAGAGTGCATACTGTTCTTTTAGAGGACCCAAGTTCAGTTCCCAGAACTCACAAAGAGAGGCTAACAATTGCCTCTTACTCCAGTTCTAGGAAACACAGATGTCTTCTGGATTCTATGGGTGCCTACAATCACACACACACACACACACACACACACACACACACACACACACACACACACACACACTGCCATGCAGGGATATATGTGTATATACATAAATAAAATAAAGATTAAAAAAGCCTTTTAGGGGCCGGTGGGTAAGGAACTTGCTGCCAAACCTGATGATCTGAGTTCAATCCCTGGGGCCTACATGGTGGAAGGAGAGGAATGATTCCCACAAGTTGTGCTCTGACCTCCAAATACACATTGTGGTATGTACAGGCTCATGTATGACCATACACATGCATACAAGCAGACACACATACACACACACTAAAAGAGTTGTGTAATAAACAAAAAATCTCAACAGCTTAATAAAGAGCTGCCCCCGAAAGCATGAAGGCCTGAGTTCCAACCCAGATTCCACACAAAAAGGTAGGAATGGGTCGGGTGTGCTGGTGCATGCCTTTAATCCTAGGACTCAGGAGGCAGAGGCAGGTGCATCTCTATGAGTTCAAGGCCAACCCTGTCTACAGACTGAATTCAGGACAGCCAGGGCTATGTAGAGAGACCCTGTCTCATCATATATATATGTAGCTAGATATGAAGCTGGAGAGATGTCTTACCACACCCACATGGTGGCTAACAACTGTCCATAACTCCAGTTCTTGAGGGTCTAACGCTCTCTATGGCTTCCATAGGTACCAGGAACACATGCAGTTCACATACATGTAAAGTACCCATACAAAGACTGGGCGTTGGTGGTGCATGCCTTTAATCCCAGCACTCAGGAGGCAGCAGCAGGCAGATCTCTGTGAGTTTAAGGCCAGTCTGGTCTACAGAGCGAGTTCCAGGAAACCCTGTCTTGAAAAACAAAACAAAACAAACAAAAACAAAAAAGTACCCATACACATAAAATAGAAATAAATATTTCTCAAACTAGAGGGAAAAAAAAAAACAAACAACCGAAAACCAAGGTGGCTAACTCAGTGAGGAATGACACTGAGGCTGACTTCTAGATGCTACACACACACACACACACACACACACACACACACACACACACACACACACACACACACACACACACACACACACACACACACACACACACACAAACACACACACACACACACATACACACACACACACACAAAGTTTCAAACTCTCACACTTGTAATTTTAGCACTATGAAGGCTAATACAGGAGGAGCTTGAATCTGAGGCTAGCCTGGACTACACCGTGAGTGTGGTGGTTTGAAAGAGAATGGCCCCCATGGGCTAATAAATTTGCATATTTGCTTCCTAGTTGGTGAAAGTTTAATATGACTACATGTGGCCTTATTGGAGGTGTGTCACTAGAGCTGGGCTTTGAGATTTCAAACGAGCCCACCCCCAGGCTCAGCTTCAATCTCTATGCTTATGGCTGCTGCCTGCAGACCACTAAGGCTGCCTGCTGCCATGCTTCCCATCATGGACTAACCCTCTGAAACTGTAAGCAAGCCCCCAATTAAATGTTTTCTTTTATAAGCGGTCTTGATCGTGGTGTCTCTTCACAGCAACAGAACGGTAACCAAGACATAGGACAATAGGACTCTGTCTCAAAATACCAAAAGCCAGAACTGAAATACACACAGACAAACCCGAGATGCTGACTTGCCTAGACAGAGAATCCCTGCTGGGATGGCATGCTGGAACAATCTGGCTACAGACAATCTTCTTTGGTACAAGGTCAGCAGCAGCATAAGGCCCAGCAGCATGCACAGCTCAGCTCTGAAGCCAATAATGGCAAAGGCCGAGAGCCAGACAAAGAGGGCCCACCTATGCTGCAACCAGGCTGTGAGGGCTGGTAGGACTGCAAAACACAAAACACACAATAAGGGGACTCACTTTCTTCTTTTTTCAGACAAGGGTTCTTTGTGTAACAATCTTAGCTGCCTGGGATTTGCTCTGTAGACCAGGCTGGCCTCAAACTCAGAGAGACCCCCTGTCTCTGTCTCCAGAGTGCTGGGATTAAAGACGTGCGCCACCTCCACTTGGCTCACTTTCTTATTATAAAAGACACAACACACAAATCACTCTGTGGGGGCTGGAGCAATGGCTCCGCCATTAAAAGACAGGCTGCTCTTGCAGAGGACCAGGCTCCATTCCCAGCACCCACATGGGAGCTCACACCTGTCTGTACATCCAGCTCCAGAGGACCTGACTCCCTTTCCTGGTTCTGTAGGCACTTAAATACACACAGCAGAATGCTCATATATACAAAATAAAAACACATCTTGAAGAAAGATTACTCTAGAAGCTGTGACTGCTGAGTACTGCAGAGTTTAAGGTAGGAGGATCTAGCATTTAAGGCCAGACTGGACTACGTCCCAAAACATATACAAACTCCACAGAAGCCTACTTGACACACAGGTACTCCACGGTAGTGTTTTCTACAAAGTACCAGTCATGAATATAGAGCATCCTGCTTCCTTAGCAAGAGACCCTGAGCAGTTTGTGAGGAGCTGATGGGTGGGGGCAGTACGATGGGCAGCTGAAGTGAGGGGCCAGAAGGCACATTCTGAAGCTACATACCCACAGCCAGGGCCAACACATTGGGGAGTGTTCTTGTACAGTAGAACATGAGGTGAAACTGTGTGGCTGATATCCAGCAGAACATGGCAGCCACTGTGGTCCCAAACTGTCGTCTCACTTCTTTTTGTAATGTCCAGAGTCCGAAAATCACACCAAGCCCAAGGACTCCTCTGACTAAATAAGAAGAGCAACAAAATCATGTTGAGTGACCCAAGAACAGACACAGATGATGAAGTAGGGGCTCTTGGAGTGTCACTTGCAGTGCTAGTCACTGACAATATACAGGGCACTACCTGGGAGTACACATTTGCTACCAGGAGTGGCCAGGAGAGACCTGGGGCCTGTGTTTGCACTGAGATCTACACCATCAAAGCTTCTTCCTTCCTTTCAGCCCCACAAGCTTGGCTGAGTGTTTGCCTGATGCCGGGCACAGCTAGAGAAGAGTGTTGGAAGGGCAGGGTAACCAGAGACCTCTAGACTGGGGGGAAGTGGAGGACAGGGCTGATGAAGGCTCAACTCAAACTCAACCCTGTGAAGCATCCAGATCACGCTATGGTGGGAGCACCAGCTGCAGAGGCAGGAAGATGAATGGGAACTCTTTTGAAGACAGGTAAGGCAGGCACCCCTGGACAGGGCCAGTCCACATATCCTCAGAGTAGACAAGCCTTATTAGCCACTGGCCAGTGGGTGCCAAAGTCTAAAGTGATGGCACAAGAAGCTGACAGCCAAGGAAGCACCCAGCACGGGGCTTCCATCTTCCTGCGTACTACTGGATACTAGATTTAAAGCATAGATGTCTCACCTCAGGACCTGTGTCCCTAAGGGTCTGGGTCCAGTTGCTATACTGATGCTACCAAGAAGCCTGTCTGGTATTCCTGTTTACAATGCCCAGGCAAAGCTCTTTTACTTCCTTCAAGTTCCCACCTGTTCAATCTGTCACCTGAATTCTAGGGCTCCTCCTGGTTTCCCATCTTCCCAAACTCCTGAGTCCTCTCCATTCTAGGATGGCTATCCTAACCCTTGAGGGAATCATTTGGGCCTCTTGCAAGAGTTGGCATAATCAGAAACCCCATGCTTACAGTAACCGAGAACAAAATGTCACTGTGCATAGACAACCGGTGTACCCAGCTCCCCAAAACAAAACCACCACAGACTTCCTTCAGGGTCTGAGGCTTGGCTTCTTGATCCCACCTACATGGGGATTGCAGCCTGCAAGCTGCCCTGGGCACTGGCAGGGTTCCCCACCCTAACCAGCTTTTCTGAGAAGTAGGCTGAGTTTTCATCAGGAACTCAGCTTTTAAGATTTACATGGGGGCTGGAGAGTTGGCTCGGGGGTTAGGGGCGGTATCTGTTCTTCTAGAGAACCTGGGCTCGATTCCTAGCACCCACATGGCAGCTGTCTCTAACTCCAGTTTCAGGGGACCTTCACACAGACAGGCAAAAACATGAATATACATTAAAAAAAAAAAAGCTTCTCACATAGGCTAGACAAACTGAAATCTGACTATGGCCAGATTTAGACAGTAAAATGTTCTGAATTGGAAAAGTGTGATTGTTGGCTTAAAAAGATATCAGGTTATGGAAAGATGTGGACAGAATGTTCTTAATCTAATATTTAAAAAAAAAGTATGGGGTTGGGGATTTAGTCCAGTACAGAGCACTTGCCAAGGAGCACAAAGGCCCTGAGTTCAGTCCTCAGCTCAGGAGTGAGTGGTGGGTGGTTGGGTATGAGAGATGGCTTGGTGTGGTGTCCCACGCCTTTAATCCCAGCAGGAGCATGCAGGAGGCAGAGGCAGGCAGGTCTTTTTGAGTTCAAAGTCAGCCTGGTCTACATAGTGTACTCCAGGACAGCCAAAGCTACATAGTGAGACCATGTCTTAAAAAAACCAAACCAAACCAAACCACATGAGATGGGGGGTGCTGGAGGGATGGCCCAGCAGTTAAAGGCACTTACAGAGCAGCTACAGAGGACCTGAGTTCAGCTCCCACTACCCACATAGTGGCTCACAGTCATCTGTAACTCCAGTGCCAGGGGATCCGCTCCCTTCTTCTGACTACCATGGGCACGAGACGTATACATGGAGTACATACATTATGTGTAGCAAAACACTCATGTACATTAAGAAAAAGAAGTATGGGTCCCATATAAAAGCGGGGTGAGCTCTGATCACCAGAGAGGCAGTATGTCTGTCCCAATGGAGGACTCACTTTAAAACAGAGAAGTCAGGTGTGGTGGCACACATCTGTCAAACCAGCTCTCAGAGGATGGATGAGGCAGGAGGACTGTGAGTTCTAGGGCATCCTGGGCTATACGGTGAGACCCTAGCTTCAAACAAACAAACAAATAAATAAAAAGAGGAGCCACAGGGTTCTTAATACCCCAAAACAAGTACCTGAAGGAACAAATAAGTTAAGTGCTCTAGAATGATCACTATTTGATATTTGATATATCTGTGCTAAAATACTGTATTGTGTCCTACTAGTAAGAATATTCAGTACTCATGTGGGCACAGAGAGGGCCCCAGGGCTCTGTATGAAGATCAGCGTGATGACCTCAGACCTCGAGGGCTGTCTAGCACATTCCCTGGGGAGTACACAAACTCTGCAACAGCTAAGGCTCTCTGAGTTACTATTGAGGCCCTACAGCTGAAACAGGGGCAGTGGGAGTTGTCACCAACTTCTTCACTAGCCCTGCTTCTAAAGGAATGGCATGAGGACTTCAGTGGAGTCTAAGGTAAGTCCAAGGTATAGCTCCTGCTTGCTTGTCAAGTTTGGTGGCAAGGCTACAGTGAGTCCTGCCAACAGCCCCTACTCCACCCCCCAACACTCCCGCCTGTGATCACGTGATACTGTCACAGTTCTTGCCCATGTGATGTCCTTACCTGTCAGCTGAGAATAAAACTTGGACATTTCCAACAGCGAAAGCACATAAACCACAGGACTGGAGAACACTGCAATCAACAGAGGCCCAAGGAACGTCCTGGGAACAACGCCAGGAAACTCATGGTGGTCATACTACAAGAAGGAAAGGGTGGTCAGCACAGAGGCTGGGGAAGTATGGCAAGCTCTCAGCTCCCAAGCTGCAGCCTCACCTTGTCTATATCCAGCTGGTGGTACAGCAGGTCATGTGTAGCCTGTAGGTTGAAGCTCTCTTCTACCTTGGTATAGGGACAGGCAATAAGGTGGATGGCAGCTACAGTGACCAACAGCCCCAGAAACAGCAGAGGCTGCCTGCCTGGTGATTTCTTCTTTTTCTTTTTCTTTTGATTTTTCGAGACAGGGTTTCTCTGTGTAGCCTTGGCTGTCTTGGAACTCACTCCGTAGACCAGGCTGCCCTCAAACTCACAGAGATCTGCCTGCCTCTGCCTCCCAAGTGCTGGGATCAAAGGTGTGTGCCAAAATCCGCCCAACTTGCCTGGTGATTTCTTGCCAGCCATGTGGTGCTTTAAACTTCATGTACCTTCACAGGAACAAAGACAAGGAATACCCAACATTAGCACAGCTGCCCTACACATTCAGAGAAAACAGAACACAGCTCCCAAATCTCAGAACTCTCCTTGAGGTCACACTGGTAAGATGTGGGGGGAGATGGCCATTCTTTGTCAGCTTGACTACATCTGGAATTAACTAAAGCCCAGGCAGCTGGGCACCCCTGTGAGGGAGTTTTGAGTAAGCCTTTTGAGGCAGGAAGCCCCACTTTTAGTCTGGGCCAGCCTGCTGCCGGCAGCCTACATAAAGAACATGGAAGGCTTGTTCCTGTCGCCTCCTTGCTCTTTCTCACCCTCGAAGGCAAGTCCATTCCTTCATTGGTAATAGAGCCTACTTCTTCAGGATTTCAGTGTGTACTCAAGACCATCCGAAACATCCAGCCTCGTGGACTGAGCAACTGCTGGATTCTTGGAACTCACACTGATAGACAACCATTGTTGGACTAGGCAGACAGCCTGTAAACCATTCTAATATATACACACACATGTACATATATATACACACACATATATTTCATTCTATCAATCCTATTCATCTAGAGAATCCTGACCAACACACCTTTTAAATTTTCTGAAAACTACTTTTTATGTGTATGGGAGTTTTGCCTACATGCATGCCTAGGCATCTGATCCCCTGGAACTGGAGTTACAGATAGTTGTGAGGTGCTATGTAGGTGCTAGGAATTGAATCTGGCCCTCTGAAAGAACAGTCAGCACTCTTAACCAGAGTCATCTCTCCAGCCCCAACCCTTTGAAATACAAGAATTCCCATAATTCCTATTGTCTTAGTTAGGGTTTATATTGACGTGATAAACACCGTGACCAAGAGCAGCTCGGGAAGAAAAGGACTTATTCCATCTGACAGCTTACAGTCCACCGGCCAAGGCAATCAAAGGCAGGGACCTGGAGGCAGGAGCGGATACAGAGGCCATGGAGGAGTGCTGCGTACTGGCTTGTTCCTCATGGCTTGCTCAGCCTGCTTTCTTACAGCACTCAGACCACCAGTCCAGGGATGGCGCGGCCCACAGTGAGCTGGGCCCTCCCACATCATCAACCAAGAAAATGTCCCAAAGGCATTCATTAACTCTGCCTGAAGGCGTATCATGAGGACTTTAGTGGAGGGTAAATAAAGCCTGGCTTGCATTTCCTTGTCTCAAGTTTGGCTGCAAGGCTACAGCTGAGCCTGGCCAACATCCCGACACCGCCTGACTATGGCCACCTGTGTTAGACACAATAAAATGCACTAGACTGGGAAAGTGTGATTGTTGAGTAAGAGAAAAATGTCAGGCTATGGAACAATGTGTACATTATGTTCTCAACCTAGCACAAAAACAGACAGGGGCATGGTGATGCACACCTGTAAACCCCAGCACTTGGGAGGCTGAGACAGGAGGAACAGAGTTCAAAGCCAACCTGGGCAACTTGGTAAGTGCACAAAGTCCTGGTTCAATCCCCCCAAACCACATAAAACCCTGGTGTGTTGTTAGATGTGTGTATCCCAGGCACCTAGGAGGTAGAGGCAAGGGGATGAGAAGGTCTAGGTTGTCCTTGGTTATACAGAGTTCCAGGTCAGCCTTAACTATGTGAGACCCTGTCTCAAAAAAGGGGGGGAGACCCACACCATTGAGGCAGCAGCAGGGTGGTAGAAGCTGCCTGCGGGAGTTTGTCTTAGCTGTCCTAACCATCTGTCCCTCATACCTTTGAAGGAAATCCAAGCTTTAGGGTGAGATTATCCTTACCTGATCCTCCTCCCTCCCAGACAGGGCACTTCCTCACAGCCAGGAAGGGATGCTTTCTGTGACGACCAACAGCAGCTATTTTCAGAGACAAAGGAACGTCTTTTGAGTCGGAATGCTCCACCAGGAGCAAAAAACAACGTTAAGATATTCACCAGTACAAAAAAACCACCTACCACGGGAATGGGGGGAGCTGCTGGGCAGACAGACGGCTAATCGCCTTCCAGCAGCCAAGTTCAAAAAGGCCATATTGTTAGCAAATGTGACTTGGAGAAGGAGGGCACCTCAGATTAGGTAGTACCCTTCAAAGATCCTGTTGTCCCTGCCAATTGGGATTCCAAGGCTTCCACGGAAATTGTCGGAATCATTCGTTCAAATTGTGGCTTTAAGCTGGAAACATAAATGATCTGGTGCAAATGAGGCCTACTTCTCAACCAAAGACCAGATGAAACCGTATTACTTGTACGAACAGGTGTTCTCTAAAATCCAGATAATGCATATTTATTACTTCGCACTCAAGCCATTTAAAATTCGTTAAGTCACTGTGTGCCCACTGCCTGAGGTTCCCCTGCGGAAACGTCCACTACTGCACCCCCAAACACACGGAGCCGGCCCCCTAGAGCAGAGCTCAGTTTACAGGTGACAGGTCGGCCGCCAGGTGAGGAGGGTGGGAGACGGATGAAGGGTCCGGGCCTCAGCTGAGATATCCAGCCCCCAGCTGAGGAACTCCAAGGCCGTCGCGCGCGCTCAGGCAGCTCGGAAGAGCCCCAGCCTCGCCACTTCCCGAGTACCTCGATCCCCACGGCGAGCGCTGAACTCCAGCCCTCTCTCTCTCTCTCTCTCGTCCTGACCCCTCGGAGCTCAGCGACTGCCCTCAGTAGGAAGCGGGCGGCGGAAACACGGCCCAGAAGCGAAGTCTTTGCCCGAACTTAACATGGCCACATAGCCCAGACCGGCCACACAGGAGGGCGCTCCCCGCCCAAAGTAAAGATGGCCGTCGCAGGCCACGAGTAGAGGGCGGGGCACGAGGACCGCTTAAAAGCCCGCGGTCCCGCCCCGCTCTCGCGGGACGCTGACCCGGGGCCTTCTCATTGGTCACTGCTCGTGGCGAGCCTGCATTGGTCCACATCAGGCAGGGAGGATTCCTCCGGCCAATGGCAGGGCGCCTGCCGAAAGGTGGGCGGGGCCTTGGCGACGCAGTCAAGTAGCCGGGGGAACGGCCGGCGCGCTGGCCGGTGGGCGGAGGCCGAGACTACACAGCGCTTCTCTGCCGGTCGCCCGGCAGCCCGCCCGCCATGCACCTGCCGCCCGCTGCTGCAATCGGGCTGCTACTGCTGTTGCTGCCGCCTCCCGCGGCCGTGACCTCCCGGACGCCGACAATGTGCCAGAGATGCCGGGCGCTGGTGGACAAGTTCAACCAGGTGGGCGGGCGGCGGGCCCGGGGCTGCGGCGCAGGGCGGGGGCTAGCGGGGTTCACAGCGGACCACCGAGCCGGTGCCACCTCCTCCGCAGGGGATGGCCAACACGGCCAGGAAGAATTTCGGCGGCGGCAACACGGCGTGGGAGGAGAAGACTCTGTCCAAGTACGAATTCAGGTGGGTGCCCAAGATCTCGGGGTTGGTGCTGACCACAGGCACACGGAAGGGCCCTTAGATGGTGGACACCTGTCCTTGGTCATCCCTGCCTCTGCCCCCCCCCCTTCTCTCTGTGTCTTCCTCTCTCCCTCCCTCCCTCCCTCTCTCCCTTCTCTCTCTTCTCCTTGTCTCCCTCTCTCCCTCCCTCCCTCCCTCCCTTTCTCCCTCTCTCCCTCCCTCCCTCCCTCCCTTTCTCCCTCTCTCCCTTCTCCCTGTCTCTCCTCTCTCCCTCTCTCCCTTCTCCCTGTCTCTCCTCTCTCCCTCTCCCCTCCACTCCTTGAAAACTCAAATTGGGACCTCCAACCCTCCTAGTGACTTCTGCCTTCCCTGGCTAGTGGAATAAGCTCTCCTTCCCATGCTGTGGTGATGGAGGCACCTGCTATCCTTGGGTCTCCGGCACACCCCGGCTTAGCTTCCCCTTTGCTGACTAACCCTTCCCGTGGTTGTGGATGGTCCCCTCTGCACTAAAGTAGTCTCTAGGTGGGACATGTATAAAGTGAGCAGACGGGTGCTTTGGGGTGCTGACAAGTTGTGTTTCAGTGAGATTCGGCTTCTGGAGATCATGGAGGGCCTGTGTGACAGCAGTGACTTTGAATGCAACCAGCTCTTGGAACAGCAGGAGGAGCAGCTGGAGGCCTGGTGGCAGACATTGTGAGTGTCCAGGACCATGTCTTCTCATCGGTAGCTTTGCAGTCTCTTCCCAGGGGAGAAATTACAGAAGCCGTAGCATCCCTGTCCCATTTTACCCACTTAGAGCCTTTGTCTCTTACCAGAGCACGGCTCTTAGAGTCAGGAAGCTTGCAAAGAGGCCCTGTGCACACCTGACTCTTGTTTCCCATCACACAGCTTTTGGGGCTTATACAGTGCCTCCTACCCCAAGTCACCTGAGGTAGTTACTTCAACCTGATGATAAGAAGTGGGAAATTCCAGAGATAAGTCTCATTGCAGTGTATCATATTCTGTTTCGATATTGTCGCGGACCTCTTACTATGTCTAATTTACAAATTAAACTTCCCCACCAGTATGTTTGTAAAGGCCAATAGTATGTTTAGGGTTTGAAACTGTCCAAGGCTTCAGGCATCCCTTAGGAGTGTGTGTGCTCCATCACTGAGCCATGCTCCCAGATCAGCATTTCGTGGGTTTTAATGACTGTTTCTAAATCCTCAGGAAGAAGGAGTACCCTAACCTATTTGAGTGGTTCTGTGTACACACACTGAAAGCATGCTGTCTTCCAGGCACTTATGGGCCAGACTGTCAGGGTACGTTTCTCTTGGGACATCCCAAGTTTCCATCTTTCCTGTTCCTCCTCTGTGACTTCCTTGTGTTTAAAAGCACAGAGGGGATTCTGTGGAGTTGGGGACTCTGCCTCTTTCCTTAGATGAGTAGTTGTCCACCCCGACTCTGGTGCTGTAAACCTGAAACACAGGATCCTGCATCACTGCTAACTTTAGCAAAGTTCCCCTTTGCACTGTAGAGCTCAGAGCCTCTGGTCCTAATGCGATTTTTAGGGTAGGGATCACGGACTGAGGAGCTCATGTGTACTCCAGAGACCTATTGATGAGGAGTTGGGGGTGGTAGTTGTGCTTAGCTGGCCCTGGCCTTCTATGAAGTGAGCCTTGAGACCAGAGCCAGTCATGTAATCGATCTGGGTCAGGTGGCAGCAGTTTCAGTTTCAGGCATGCGCACAGGCTGAGATGCACACAGGCTGAGATGCACACAGGCTGAGATGCCTCTTGCTTGTCTCTCCCTGGCTGTGTGCTGAATCCATCAGATTTCTCTCCCCGGGTACATAATGTATTACAGTGTTAATCCTGCAGATTCTAGGTAGTCATTGTGTGTTTCTAGTCTTTTCCTTCGACTTTCAGGCCTGTTTCCTCAGCAGGAATGGTGCCAGGTTTAAATTGGGAAGGCTCCCAATGGTTGTGGTTGTGAGCATGTTGTGAGAGGTGCTATGATTCTCCCTGTGTGAGAACAACATGGCCACCCCTGGGACATGCTCCAAACAAAGGTTTATGTCTTCCAAGAATGCCAGGGTGGGTCTGAGAGGCCTTGCAGCGGAAATGGCCACTGCAACGGAGATGGCAGCAGACATGGTGACGGGTCCTGCCAGTGTCACGTAGGATACAAGGGGCCACTGTGTATCGACTGCATGGATGGCTACTTCAGCTTGTCGAGGAATGAGACCTACAGCTCCTGCACAGGTAAGCAGCAGCACCCAGAGTCTGTTCAGCTTGGTTGGTAGTGAGGCTGTGGTGAGCAATCCCTGCTGAAACTGCGTAGCTGGGAACAGAGTGCCTCTTGGCCCCCTAGCCCCGGGTGTCCAGAGCAGTGCAGGCGGCCTAGAGATGTGGCCTTTTTGAAGTATCTGTAAGCTACACCAAAAGGAAAAGCTTCCTGCCGCTTCTTGTAGGAGTGACATGGAGGTTGAGTGCATGTGTCAGGTTCTGTCGCGCCTATACCAAATGCATTTGGCCTTTTGAACGAGGACCTAGTAGTAGGCCATGTTCCATATGATCTCCTGGAATATTCTGATGAAAGGCTTACTCCCAGCCTGTGGCTGTCCGTGAAGGATGGACAAGTCCTTAGGTTTCCACCAGGTGTCCTTGGAGAGCCGGGGGCAAGGTATAGATGTGTCCACAGTCAATCAAACAACTTTCTGGGCCCGTAAGAGATGGCTACACAGGGGAATCAGGACCCTTGTTTTTAGCTGGTTGTTAGGGTTACCTGAGCAGATAAGTCCCATGACTGAGGTCAGCTCTGCCTGTCAGATCACTGAGCAGAGCAGAGTCCCTTGCCAGCCTCCTGGGGCCCCTGCAATTGCGGCCTGCACAGGGCAGCATCCTTGGTTGAATTAACACATTTCATGTTTCATCAGTCCATGAGAAATGCTGCCTATAGTGACATCTTGCCCCAAAGTAATGGCTGCTTATTTTCTTGTTTTCAGTTTTTGTTATTTTCCTGCTGAGCTTAAGTCCTCATTCCTAAAGTAGGCTTTCCTCTGTGTGGGAGAGGACAGGGCCCTGTTCACTGAAGGGCCCTCCTAATCCAGCCTTTGCTTTCCAGCTTGTGATGAGTCCTGCAAGACATGCTCAGGTCCGACCAACAAAGACTGTGTGGAGTGCGAAGTGGGCTGGACACGTGTAGAGGATGCCTGTGTCGGTGAGCAGGGTGGGAGGGGAAAGCTTCCTTACAGGGGAGACCCTCTGACTCCCACCTGATGATGCCTTTTGTCTGCTCCCCTCAGGGCTGTGGAAGGCCATTCTTATGGCCTACATGTGGTTTTCAGAAGGACTCAAATCTAGATTAAGCAGGAGTCTCCACCACAACTGGTAGCATCAAAATACTGGGCTGTGCCATGGCACTGACTTGTACAAGCCCCAGGTGCCCACTGCCTGCCCGCCTTCCTCTGTTAGACCTAGTTTTGGTTTCACCCCTCAGCAGCTGCCTGGCCTTAGGCAAATTCAGAACTCAGCCATAGGCTGGTTTCAAGCCATGAGACTCGGAGTGAAGAAAGAGAAGGTTTGAGCTTGTGTGGCAGGCAGCTCAGGAGCTCATTGCAGTCGTGTGCGTGGTGCCTCAGCCCTGCTGCCGTGGGCTCTGCTCACAGCCTTGTGGCTTTGTTCCAGATGTTGATGAGTGTGCAGCAGAGACCCCACCCTGCAGCGATGGACAGTACTGTGAGAATGTCAACGGCTCGTACACATGTGAAGGTGACTGGAGTGTTGGGACCTGTCATCCTCCATAGGGTTTCTCTGTCTTCCTTCAACATGTGAGGCTAGGATGGCCTCTGAACAGTCTGCTTCAGAAACTTGGAAGTGGTGACATTAACAGTAGACAGAAAACCACACACCTCTATCATTACGTGTTTGTACTCATAATAATCTTGGAGCATGCTGCTGTTCCAGGCTCTTTTCTTTGAAGGGAAAACTTTTCACACTTTTTTTTTTTTTTTGAGACAGGATCTCTCTATGTTGCCCTGGCTATCCTAGAGCTCACCATGTAGACCAGGCTAGCCTCAAGATCTTCTGCCTCTGCTTCCTAAGTGCTGGGATTAAAGTTGTATGCCACCATGCCCATGTTAGAAAACATTTCACACTCCTTTTTGCTTCCCAAATTTGCCAGTCAATGGTATGCGTATTTTAGGGTCTTAAGCAATTCACAGAGTAGCCCGGGTGAAGTTGCCACTCACCCAGTGTCCACAGCTCTAAGCTAGAAGCTGCAGTGTCCTCTCAGTGAAATGTGACACTAGGCCCATAGAGCCTGCAGTCTCTGCTTGGCTGTTCTTACTGACGTCTTGGTTAGGGAAACGAACTGTTACTGTGCTTGAGGTGGCTTT